GCATCTAATTGCAAAACAGTTGAAAATCAACGACTAACTCACAACACTTTCAGTGGCACAGTTACGGAGAAATTCACACAAAACGTGTGTCGCGAAAATCGCCCAAAAAGTGGCTGAACATGAAAATGTGGATAATTTGGGGACATCAATAAGAGCAGTGCGATCTCAGTTACGAGGAAGATCCAGTGCACGTGGAAATCGGTGCAAACATTGTCACCCAAAACCCACTTTAGGGGGCATCTTTTCAAGTTACTGATTCCAAAGTGTCGACTGGTATGCCGCATCAATCCTTTTTGACAGTCATAGTGTGAACCACTTGGAATTCCCACGTCATTTGTGAACCAAGTGATGAAAAACCCTAGCACACATCACTTTCTTACACAGCTAAGAACGCAAATTAGTTAAAAAAAATCAAATTACGCGGTATGTTCTAGCCGAAACTACATATATGCAATATTTTATTACGTTTTGGCCGAGAAACGATTCCATTGTGTAAATATCCTGTGGGGAACAGTAAATAAACATGAGCTTGTAAGTAATTCCGCGTAATAAAACTTTGACCGTGAAACTTCACCTGTGATGTTTTCTATTTCTGTACGCTCGGTGAATTTAATTTCTCCCAGGAAAGTACTCCGTGCTGCTTTCCGGAGAACGTGGGAGAATATGGGTCAGATCTTAATGATGTCGCTTTTAAAATAACAGGGATAAACAAGGAGTTATTATTACGGTTTGAAGAAAAAAATTAGAACAAACAAGAAATGGAATATGAATAAATGCGAAGGTTGTGCGACACAATAAGTAAAGAAGAAACAAGTTGACAGTTAAAGTGCCGTTTAGCTGAACACAAAAGATGCACATAAAATCCCCCTCCAAAGAATAGCATCTAGCTAGAGAACCTGAAAAAGGAATCAGTAATTACCCTACACACGTTATTGGGGGGACACAGTACACCATTTGACGAAACGCAAGCGTTCTTTATACGTTTGCCTATCCGTGCAGAACGTTGTTGCATGGAGTCACCCTCAGTCGATTGTCTATAGTTTGCTTCATCTCCAAGTTCCTTAACGAGAAAGCCAAATATGTGCACTGTACTTGGCTGTTCTACCTCTTTTGACTCGGTGTTCTGTTCTCTTTTACTTAACAAGTTTCAATGGTTTGGCTGTCCCAATTTTTTTTCTTGAGAATGGCATGCTGATTACCTTTCACAAAGATATCCGTATGTTAAATTAGGAAGAAGACAGTCTGCTACATCAATCAACAGCTCTGGGGTACTTCAAGGTACTGTCCTATCTCTCTATCTTTTTGCGACTTATGTCAGTGACTTACCTATTACCCCCCTTGTACGACATTTTAAGGAAGCGGATGATATCACCATTTCTGTTTCCGTATCTAACCACTCAGAACTGGTTGAATATAACACAAACTTATCCCACCTCGTTTCGTATTCCGCTTCATCCGGTCTCAATCTTAATGCCGAGAAATGCCTTGAATGTATTTTTACTTTTAACCATTCCCCATCTCCCTCTGATAATGTGCAGATTCAGGTAGTGCCCATGATCAGGTTCAGCCATGTGGACTATTTAGGTGTCACACTTGAAAGTCAACTTCGCTGGTTCTTACATACCAAAACTGTTGCTTGCAAGTTGAAAGTTCTCTCTTCAGATAAGAAGTCTGCGTCACTTGTGTTCTGATTTGTCAGTAATAGACATAACATGCAATTCGAAAACTCCCATCACCATCATCATACTTCTTGGACGGTATTAATAATAGAATTGCATGATCGGTTCAAAATAGTTGATTAAGATTACCGGTAAAAAAGAAGAATCAATACACGCAACTGACTCACGATACTTCAGACTTGATCGCGGTCGTCGATCTAGAATAGGCTGAGCAGGGGCGGGGTGGGGAAACAGTAAGAATGTGTTTAAAATTCTTGTTCAATCGGCATTTTTAAGAGGCATCCAATGAAAAGCGGAACAGCTTTGCCACTTATCAATTGGAATTTGCTACAAACGAGAAGAAACGGTTGGAAATTAGAAAAAAACACCACAGTTTGCCTACAAACCAACCACATGCATGCTAGATCCAGTTTTCGCATTAGGACGTCAAATTATTTAATCCCTTAGTGATTGTGAAATTGGTTAGTTTTGTTTCTGGACTACACACATCTGCTTTTGATTCTATTTCTCGTATCCATTCTTCTTCTTAAACTGGAGACCTTTGGTTGTTCGAAATAGTTATTAGCCCGGCTTGCTGATTACAGCTCCGGGTGAGCCTAATGCACCAGTCATGGTCGGAGGGAATCCAAACCATCGGTGACCTATTCCAAGGTACTCCAAAGTGCAGTCCGTTCCCCATACTTATTTTCTACGGTTATGAGTGATGAGTTATGTCTGCTATTGCCCCTACTTCTCTCTTCAAATACGCTGATAATGTGGTTTTATGTCAGCCCATTCCCGACTCTTCTGGCCTTTCACAATTTTTCTGACAACCTGGGTGATGTTCTACAATTTTCCGCCACATCCAACCTCTCCTTACATTATCACGCTCGTCTTTACCATCTGAACCGGTATAGATCGGATCTGAACCAGTATCCCGGGTAAGTTGTATTAAATACATGAGGCATTTTTATCGATGATAATCTTCATTGCGTCTCTCACATTCAATGGATTGTCACTGAACTTCAATGACTTTCTTTTTTTATATCCCTAAACTTCGTTAGTTTCGCAATCAACAATCGACTATTTCCAAATTCGTGTACCAACGTGTTTTCCCCGTTCTATTTTATTGTTCACCTGTTATTTTTCCAATCTCCTAGAAAAAGACTTTAAACTGTTCCCGCATGGGTTGACCATCTCTTCAATCCCCCTGGAGGGTTTGGTAACTAACCTGTGCGAAGGTCATTTGAATGCATGTGAAAAATATGTATATACAAATCTTATCGACTCCACAAATTCACGGTATACAGATCTAATTTCCTGTCGTTTTCATCCATCACCTAGGTCCNCCTAGGTCCCAATATCGTTGTGTTCCCTCTCAAACAAACGTATATTGTAACTTGCGGGTACCCACCTTAGCACGTATTCTTGTTAACAAAGATCAGGTTTTCATGAACGTTGTTAAAATTTTCTAAATTTAACTCTTTTCTCCTCCCCTCGTCTCTCTCTCTCATACACTTCTAACTGAACTGTAGACTGTAAATACAACACAATACAATACAATATAATACCACTATTTACTTTCTGTTCATATCAAATAATAAGTAATAAAATCACACTAACTACACCGTAGATCCGATCCATGTGGATGAAGAGAAGTCTGAGGGATGGTCAGTCAGAATGAGGTCAAACTGTGTCACAATCATTTCGGTGTATTCGATTAAAGCTCAGGTTCCAGTCCGTTCAGAATAGACCGCAGACGGTTTAGTCAAACCGAGGCTTATCAGTGTGTTCTAAAAAGGAATATGAACGATCTCTTTTTCCGAAATACTCCTCACTGTTTCCTTGAGAGGAATACTACTAGATGCAATACCACAGCTCAGAGTTCAAAATAGTTATCGTGGAAGGACTGACTTACCTCGTGATCCATCAGGTAACTGAATTCCTGTGAATAAGAAAAAACAAAGCCATTCATAGCTTAGAGTTCTTTGTTAATTTATTCATATTCTAAGATCTGTTTTTTCTTACTGCTAACAAGGCCGGATTTGCACGAATAAACAGAGAACCTTCTAGATTATTTTTGATGTAATAAATCCATTCAGCTTTTGGCAAGCGGAAACCGCGGATATGTCTGGTATTTTGCAATCCGTTTTGACCAAATATACCCAATGTTTTCTATCGTATGTGAACTAAATTGAATTCAATCTTTCCCGCCTCCTTACGGTATGGTAGATCCTTTTTTCATCTGTCTGACCGTGGGTACGATTTGGATTGTCTGAAAAAACTGACGTCACAGATACTTTTTCTATTCGTTACTGTCCAATGCGATTGCTGACCTAGAAAAATGTTCGATCGGCTTACTGCTTTAGCGGTTTGCATCAGTGTTGAATGAGATTTGATTTATGTTTTAGCTACTAATAAATAGAAAGTAGTGTTGGTTGTTCTTGCACACATGATGCCCTAAAATGAAGAAAAAATGAATCAACAGGTATCACGGTGGAAGGATTAATGTCATCGGTGACTTCATTTCGATCGAATGAGTTATCTCAGTACACATGAGTCGCTCAAACTGGATATATGAGTTCATAAAAAATGTTGTGACTGTCAAATCTTTATGAAAAGAAACTCTTAGGGCGGAGCTCACTTAACCCGTCAAGCCGCGCACGGATCCATGTCACCTCACGGGCGCGCCCGCGACGCCCAAGGCGAGTCAAGTCCAGATTGGATGACTAGGACAAATCTGAGAGCTGTTTTCCGATCGACCAATCGGAATGTCAAAGACGCGATCTGATTGGCGCGTCACCACGTCGTTCTCGTACGCCCAATTTAACCATTTATAAACGCGTATCGCTTCATGATTACGGAATACACTCTGACCATTGTTCCCCGGTGATGTTCTGTCTCCCGTATCATTGTTGAGAGCTAGGCAAGAGGCGCTTGTATCAATCGTACGTCTAGGTAGAACACGACAGGAACAAGACAGTCAAACGTGGGGGTTTTAGGCAGCAATTTCCCCACGAACGCCGGTTCTGCGTTGTGCCTATGCGGAGACGACAAGAGCAAAACTGTAGAAAGTAATGAAATTGGGTTGAGCTCGGTGATCGAAGTCCGTCTTCACACACACAAATTTGACTGGCTAAGCCTTTGCTTATCTGCTTCGAGGTTGATCACAATTTCAGAATTAAGATTCCGCTTCGAACACATCTGTTAAATAATGAATGTCTCGTATAGGGCACTCACCTCTAGCGTTTGTGAAACTCCAGCCAGTTTGACATTGAACCAACGTAAGATTTCCTCGATGTCCTTCGCTTGTCGGTAAATGGTCCTCTGTTCCTGTTCAGTAAGATGGATGTCCCTCAACAACATGGACTCGTAATCCAACAAGTCCATAGTGAACACGGATGTGATAAACGAGGCCAATTCCGAAGTCATTGCATTTGAACTGAAAATATCAAAAGAATATGACGTGACTGAGAGATTGCGTCTGTTTATGTTTGTTAACGGGACAAATAAATAAAATCAGCGCGGTTGAACAGCGCAAAAGCGCTGATTACGAGCAATCATGAGTCACCACCACTGTTTACGAGAGGAAGTCGATTCAAAATGAAACTAAAACAATGGTCTTCACTGAATAGTATTTATTCTGAAGTAATACAAACCACCCATGAAGGATCGAGTGTATACTGCAGTAGTTCATCCAGTTCAGTTCAATTCTTACAACCATTAACCATGCACTTTCCTGCGCCGGTTTTGGTTGCCCACTTGGATAAAAAAGCAGAATGTTGAGAGCAAATTCAAGCGGAAAATAGAGAATCCATATAGACTAATGTTGCAAGAATAATGAGTAGATGAATGAGCATAACTGTTTGCGACAACCAGCTATATTGCTCAGTGTTTCCAACCATGAGTGACCATGATCACGGGGTCCCCAACCAGGGAGCCTAACCGGACCTATGTGACACAGTTTCCTGGTTAGGGTTTTCATACCTGCGCTGTTATACGGTCCGGAAACATGGTCATTACGAAAGCAGAATAAAGATAGACTGTCGGTGTTCGTACACCGCTATCTACGTCACATTGCACGAATCTAGTGTGATAACCGGATGAGCAATGCCGAGGTAAGGACTTGGCTTTGGCTAGTAGTAATATAAAGGGATCCTGATCTCAATAAGATAATTATCCATTAGTTTTTCTGTAGTCCCTGACCCAACTCCTTGTTTCGGATCCCCTCCCGGCCACTCGAAAAAAAGGAGTACTTTTCTAGCCCTTTGCTCCTAATTGCGCCCTCCTCATTAGCTTGAAATTCCCTGCCTAGTACTTGTGCCGATTCACATGCTTGTTGTCGAAGGTACAGTTGAAAACCGAGTTGTGCTTTTAAACGTCGAGGATTACAGTTTAACCTTCTTTTTGATGAATTTGCTGTATCTCCCTTATTGGGGTGGTCAGTAAGCGTCACCTTTTGTGAGTGCTCTAACGCGAGCCTGAGATGACATATGTGTGTGTGCGCGCGATCAATACTCCCAGTGTGATGTTCAGTTCCAGTTTTCTTAGCTTCATGCCATCGGTAATTTTGCTTTGTGTCAGATCAACACCTTGCTCGTCTGTGGTGATCCGGGCCTACGAGATGACACACATCATGGAGCGGCGCGTTACAATTTTTGGACAACTGCGATCAATCAAATTTCACGGGTAATGTCAATGACGCACGTACGTGTCACTGCTTCTTACTACATGCTATAGGCAGATCGTGCCAGCCA